GGACAAATGGAACTTAGCATTCAGCACTGATACCTGGTGATTTTTTTTCTTTGTGCTATTAACTATATCATCTTTTTTTTTTCCTTCTTCCTTTACTTTTTTTCTTTGTCTTATGTAGTGATTGGTGTTTATGGAAACTTGAGGACAAATCCTAGTAACCTCTGCTTGAATCTTACTTTTTTTCACCAAAATTTACACTGTGTTCCTAGAATCCTGTTCTCTTCTTTAATAACACTTACCGGAGCCATGATTAATGTGCCATTTGGCATTTTACCAGAGACTGTGTGCTCCACAAAGGTGGGCTCTGTCTTGTTCACTGCTGAATTACAGCATAGTGCACACAGTAGGTACTCAATAAATGTGTTGAATGCTTGTAAGGAATTCAAGGTGAACATCTGCTCACAAAATTTAAAAAGTGCTTTCTGCCTGCTTCTATTCAAAAAGGTTGATCAATGGATAATAGCTAATATTAGGGGGTTCAAATGGTTACCACATCAGGTTGCTAAACAAAAGGCTGGAGATTCATGTCCACCCAGGGGTGCCTTGGAAGAGAGTCCTGGTGATCTGCTTCCAAGAAATCAGCCATTGAAAACCCTATGAACCTCAGTTCTAATCTGATACACATGGGGTAGCCATGAGTTGGAACATGATTGGGCATGTTGGACATAGAGAGGAACATGATTGTTCCAACTCATGAAGACTGGAAAAAAAATACGGAGTGTGTTTACTATGCTAAGAGGAACTCTGGTGGTGTAGTGCCTATGGCATTTGACTGCTAACCAGAAGGTTGGTCGTTCAAACCCACCAGACACTCTGCAGAAGGAAGACTGGGCAATCTACTTTTGTAAAGATATACCATCGGGGAATCCCAAAGGAGGTCGCTATGAGTCGGAATCGACTCAATGGCAATGAGTTTGGTTTACTTTTTATTATGGTAAGACCTTTGCATGCATCATCTTACTTTTCCCAACAACTTGATAAAGAAGGTATAAGAAGTCACAGAATCATTGCCTAAACCTACTGCCATTGAGTCAATTTTGACTCATTGTGACCCTATAGGACAGAGTAGAACTACTTCCATAGGGTTTCCAAGTCTGTAGTCTTTACGGATGTGGTCTGCCACATTTTTCTCCATGGGTTCAACTGGTGACCTTTCAGTTGGCAGTCAAGTGTTTTAACCACTGTGCCACCAGAGCTCCTCAAGGGTAGCCTAAGGGCACGTAAAACAGTAAATGAACTAAGGTTCAGGGGAGCCCTGTTCACCTTGGTGGTATCATCCCATCA